GGGGGAGGGGGAGAGAGCGGGTGGTTCATCGTGACCAGACCGGCTCGGCGTGGCCGGAGATCGAGCTGCCGCATACGAACCAGAGGCCGCTCAGAGCCGGCGCACCGGCTCGGGCAGGCATCGTGACCAGACACAGACGCTCAGAACCGGCACACCGACTCAGCGGCACACGGCGACACAGGGCCGATACACCAGCTCCCAGAGACGCAGTTATACACGGTCGTACGCCACTGAAGCCGGCACGCGTTAACGAGTCCCCAGAGGCAGACAGTCGTCTGGGTCTCAGTGAAGCAGGCTATCGAACAGCTCGAGTTCACTCTTGCTGATGTGACATCAGATGCTAGCAGAACATGCAAGCCAGTACCGGGTGTGCATTGGAGCTTGACAGGGAATGACAGGTTTGACGACTTAAGTAAAATACATACATAAAGTACTTCTCACACCATTTTGTGTTGAAGTGGTGATTTAACGATGTATCAAGATGCATTGGCCGCAGTTAAAAAATAATCGACATCATGTTCACAGACAAGCTGGTGCTACATGTCTTTAAATTGTTTGAAATTTGTTGACTCCCTCATGACATACAATTGCTTCAATTTTTTTGCTTCAAAATGCTTCATTAAATTGTTCGCGTCTGCGTCTAACAGCCATCCAGCCACGTATGCTTCACGCCTGAGATATGTCAGCGTGACTACCATGACACGCCAGTGACTGACCTGGTGCACCGTGTCACCGCCCGGACCCGGAACACGGCCTGCGGCTGGTAGATGATGTCCAACACCTTCTCAGAGTCGACAGTCAGCTGCTCCAGCGTCTGCTGCAGGCTGGAGGCGACCTCGACGTCACCGACGTAGAAGGCGTATGGCACCGGCTCCTCTTCCTGCCGATGCCACGTGTGATGTGACGTCACCACATCACGAGGAAGGGCTGACGCAGGTGTCAAAATGGATGATGACTTGATGACATTGAAGACACATACCAAGAGATAATGTCCACGCCGAAAACCTGCCCTGGAAGGGGCGGCAACACATGTGATAACATGACTATGACAGAAATGCCCGCCTGCTGTTACCTCTGTGCACGCAGAACTCTGAACAGGGCATTTTTAATTTATCTTTAGATTGCCTACAAGCATGTTTATCTGACCCCCATCCAAACAAACACAACTGTACTGGTGCCCAGCACATATCAAGGTGATACAAAATGAGACTGTACAGATTTACATGCAGTCATGACAAAAATAGCTAATTTACAGGTACACAAACCTTTTCAAGAAGTGCATTGCAGACTAACTGCAGCTTATCCTTTGTGATTGTGACTGGCAGGTTGAAAGGAGCACCAGCAATGTCCCCTGTTTCTGAGCGGAACTGTGCCAGAATATGGCGAGTTTCCTCAGCTTCCATTGGCTCCTCCATTGTGTCCGACTTCAATGAGATAACTTGTTATGAGCAAGATGTGCCAGCAATATCGATCTGTAATGAGAAAAAATAATGCCAGTCAGTATCTGCCTGGTGGGGAGTTACCATGCTAACCACCTTTTCCCACTTCTTCTCATTAAGATTGTTTAAACTGCCCATGCAACCTTTCTCCAGTCCTCTTCACTTCAACAAGTTACAAGGACCAATACAAATGTTGATACAAAATGGCATGCTTTAGGGATATGGGATGGCACATAATCTACCTGATGCCTAATACAATCCATTGCACAAGCAGTTCAGGCATTTTTGAAATACTTAAAAAAGGAAGATATTTTCAAGCCATCCAAGACCATCTGAAGCCATTTAAGACCATAAGACCATTCTAAGATTGAAACATAAGACCATTCTGGCCTATACCCCCACATCCTGGGGTCTTTACACATGTGCTTAGCAGGGTCTTTGAAGGTCTGCCAAAACGGACACTAATTAAATCATAATCAGAAACCAAAATTGCCTGGTGCTTTTGATTAGAACATTTTCTGAGAACGGTGCTCATGCCAAGCAACACTTGTTGCATGAGCCCTGAACTCCCCAACAGTGATAAATTTCAGCTCATCCACACACTTTTGTGGTGGCCTAACATCTAAAATGACCACTACTGCTGGCATCAGCCACATCACCATTTGGTTACAAGGATTTGTCATGTGTATTTGTTTGTGCCATCGTAGATTAGAAGTTCAGATTTTTGAAACCTCTGAAAGACATCACAGTTCACCAAATAGTCAATCCATCCACCAAGACAATCAAGACAACCAAGACAAGATAGACAATCCAGCAAGAAGCCAATTTTCAAGCCATTGATGCAAACTAGGTTGTTTGCTCAAATCCAGCAAGAGGTTACTTTGTCAATAATTGCAATGCCAAATAAAGTTATCCATTCACTTTGGATAATTTGCATTGCTATGGGAGGGGCACTTCCAGTGGGGCAATTCAAGCTTAATGCTGGGATGTGTGGTGGATGGCTCATGGCCAACACTGGTACTTTACACTGCAATACTGAACTTTTCACTGGCTTTTAAAGATATTAACCACCTTAAATAATAACAAACATGAATACTTTATGGACATATTATCATCTTACCCTCAAAATCTGATAATTACGATAACAGCAGCACATGTCAGTGGATAGTTTACCACACTGATCACAGACACTGATGGGACATGGGTTGCGGAGGATTGAGGGGAGGGGGAGGTTGCCAGGGTGATGGTGGTTGAGTTAGGTTCAGGTTAGGTTTAGATGGGCTAGGTTAGGTCAGGTCAGGTAAGGCTAGGTTCAGTCAGGTTAGGTAAGGCCAGGTTGGTTCAGGTTAGGTTAGGTTAGGTTAGGTTAGGTTAGGTTAGGTTAGGTTAGGTTAGGTTAGGTTAGGTTAGGTTAGGTTAGGTTAGGTTAGGTTAGGTTAGGCTAGGCTGGGCTAGGTTACATTCTGGTCCATTTTAATAAATTCTTTGAAAGACCATTTTCTCAGACAGCTTACATGTCAACTAGAGTGTGTGCCAGTGGGTCAGGAATATCATGTCTCTGGATCACTCAGACATTCACTATCACAATTATTAAAGTTTTAAGGTAAGATTGTAGAAATACCTGTATGAGTTTTATATAAAAATACTGGGCACAAATTATTAGACTGTGTGAAGCTCAGATCATTGCTCACACCACAAAGCTGTCAAGCATGAATTAATTGATGCGAACAACACACATTTAGGAGCAACTAACGAACTAAGGCTGCATAAGTACCAGCCTAGGATGAAATAATGATTTGGACCATTATCCTTCAACTGGTGTCATTATGAGCACAATTTTTTCCAGTCAATTCTGACTATCATCAGGTGTTACACTCATTAAAAAACTGAGTGTTTTCAGTGTTTGGCCTTAGGCCATATGAATTGCTGGAAATCTAGCCAGGTCCATACCATTGTGAGTCTGATACTCTACCAACTAAACCTACTGGGACGAACTAAGACAGTCCAACTTACACTATACCCATGTTCATAATACCTCATCTCAATGCCCCCGTAAAACAGGATCAACCATATTACGGAGCCTGTTAACGCGCATTCCAAACATCAACGCTCATCAGCATCATGCGGGTAATAACCAATCACCACGACAACTGGCATAACTAATTACGCTACCACAACGTTCCGACCCATCCACCTTCTTGAAACGCTGCACGCGGAATAACGCACCGCGACCTCACGTCCTTCGACAAACACGTGCGTGGGCCCAGGCGTGAGCCAAGGTGGCCAAGGCCAGCTTGATTGCGTTGGTTTCGAGCCTGTTGCGCCAATCTTGACATTTATAAGAGACTAGCATATTTTGAGCCGCGCCCTCAATTCATTCTCTTCGGGCCCAGACGCTCCTTGCCCTTGCCTCCTTTAAGCTCTGGTCGGCGCTCTTTCGGTCTATTTCTTCCTCACTCACTCTAATCCCGCCCACTCCAGCCAACCTATCTCATTTTAAAAGTAATGTCAGCCAAAATTTAGCTATGTTGATTCTCGGACAAGTCGGTTTTCCGTGTTAATACCTACGGTCCTTCTGGCGAAAGTGCTGAAGTGGTCGGGCTCAGAGGGTTCCACTATCCCAGGCTGGAGAGGAGAGGGAGCCCCACGGGTGTCGATCCTCTTTGATCTTTCTGCGAAGAAGCGTCTCGTGCTATCCTTATAACAAAAAGCCATGACTGTTCTCACCGCCAGATACAAATCGTAACAACTGAGCGGATAAGCGATGCAATAAATCTCACATACCTAGGGCCATAAGACGCACACTGTTTTGTTAAGTATAAGTGAAAAGTTCTGGAGTGTGAGATGACCTAAGTCCTTCATGACTAGCCCCGTCCTCGTACCCCAACCCCAAAATGCATGCCACCTCCCATGACCCTCAAAGAAGAGCGCCATCGGCGCCCTAAGGTGGCCTCTAAACGAATGCCTTCACTTGCCGATCAGAAAAGACGTGTGCGTCTTGTGCCTGCTCCCTGGATCCACCCCTGCATGACTTCTATGCCGCTTGGAAACTACGTTTATGAATTTTACAAGGATTAAAAGCGTATATAGCCTTCAATCATAATAAAGTGGGCTAATTTCGGCGAGAAAAAAATTCGGGAGTAGGTTGTCGGCCCTTCGGTTCGTCTCCCCCCCCCCCCACAATAATGTGCAAAAATTGACATACCTGGGGAACCCGCTGCATAGGATGCGGCGGGTTCTTCAGTTCCCCGGACTCAAGAGCATTTTCAATGGATTTGTCAAATATCGAAACAGTTCACTGGAAAGATTTGACAGCGGCTCAAATATGGCGCACTATTGAGGTTTTTCCGGCTATACTGTGCGCAAATAGCGTACTAGCGTGCTTGCGGGGGATTGCGTACGGGGTATCCGCATTTTTACGATAGGCAATCTGCTGAGCCTATGATTTTCCGGGAGGTCCGTTGTTGGACTTCGCAATTTTTGACCTGCCGGTTACCAGCCACCGAGATCGCTTGTACAATGGCATACTGAATCCGCAATGCGTATGCGTCACACATGCCATGTTCGAACTGTTTTGGCCGTCCAGGCGTCTTGCTTCCAGGCAGGTCCCTTAATGGACTGGGGACAGTTCAGCCGAAGTGTTGCCTCCTAATCAGTGAGAATGGATGCAAAAGTGACGAGAGACGTTTGTGAAATTTTGGGTGATCAAATTTGCTAGGAGGTCAGTTGTTGGACTTGGCAATTATGGACCAGCCTGCCCCCAGCCCCTTTTGTGCCTGGGTGTGCACTTTGCTGCGCATCGCCGAGCAGGCGCCCACCAACCCACTGACTGGTGGCTGCCCACCAACAGTTGGTAGACATTGTGAAAAGGAGGTGCATTAGTGGGCCTAACCTGAAGATATAGCCCTGGATTTCTTTGTGATACAGTAAATGGTACAGCTCTGATTGGTGGCTGAACATATCTCATTTCTTTGCACATGAACATTTCTGGTTTGCTGAGACTTATAGGTTCTTTTTCCTCTTAAACAGTTTACTCTAAGAATCAACCCACCCAAAGTTACATAGTTATGATATTTTATGGGAACTTGTATGTAACATAGGCTAGAGCAACTGCTGTTTTTAAGCAGGCATGCTGCTATATTGTTAAAATTGCAGGAAGTGGAGTGCCAAAGTTCATCTGAATCTGCATTCTTGTCAGTCCTGCAGCTATTACAAAATTGTGTGAAATCCCCAAAAAGACAGGTATTCACATCTTGTAACTGTTATGGAAGAATAACTGATGTATCCATATCTTGAAGCTGTGCAAACAAATCTTACCCAGGCATGAATTCTGTTACTTATAGTTATGGAGGTAAAACAGTCTCTGATGTCATCAAGCCCTGAAGCTACCAACCATTATGGTCCCATTAGTCACTCAACATGTATAATACTAGTGTCTGCTCTACCACAGTGTATATGAACCACATATGAAGTGCAGATATGTTTATGCTGATGGACTTGTTTCAGGTGTGGCACACTGCAACAGCTGGTGTGATTGTGTTGCTTTGTACCTTGCAGGGGATGAAAGACTGCATATGACATCATATTGCCTATTCTTTGTTTTACAAGATAACTTGAGAGTGGCTCCTCCCAGAACATAAAGTGACCATGGTATTTGACCATTATCGTTTAGAGGCTCTCCTTGCTGTTGGAGCTGCATCGTTGGTTGCTTATGTGATTTGGGGACCTAAAGCCACCAAATCAAGGAGTGCTAATGCTGCTGGTAAGTATTGTATTATGCTTTATTATATACATATATTCCCAAAGCAGGGTATGCAAGTTTAGATACACATATTGTTACTTGATTCTGACACATCTTCTATGTTTGTTGTATGAGAATCATGTTTGTCTAACCATTCATTTGGAAATGCATCTAGCCTTACCCCAACATTTTCTGAATAGATGTTTTTCAGGTACTAGGCTTTGCAGCATTGCAAAGCCAACTGGTGGATGTTAAGAGATGACATGCTTTTGGCATTTTACAGAATCATTGCTGTGCTGGCATAGCACCTAATTTCCTTGCTCTCAGCTGGCAAAAGGGCAGCTCAAACTTTGCATACATTCTAAAATGCTGCAAATCATGTACCTACCATGGAGCTGCCAAGTGTTGGTCAGATGAGGCTCTGTTGACCCAGCTGCATTTCACCCCAGGTGTGCTGGCTGGACTTCAGAATGTGGGCAACTCGTGCTTCTTGAATGCGGTGCTACAGGCTCTGTGCTCCAGCCCGGCGGTGATGAGGTGGCTGTCGCGGCCGGCCGGCGGCGCGCGACCCGCGCACGCCCGACTGCGGGCCGCCCTACTGGATGTCATACATGGTGGGCCCACTCCCCTGCATGCAAGCCTGGCACCAGTGCACTTGTGGGCCAGGCCGGCGGCGCGCGGCCCGCGCACGCTCGACTGTAGGCCGCCCTGCTGGGCGCTATTCACGGTGGGCCCGCCCCTCTGCACGCGGCCCTGGCACCCATTGACTTGTAGGCCGGCCGGCGGCGCGCGGCCCGCGCACGCTCGACTACGAGCTGCCCTACTGGACGTCATACATGGTGGGCCTGCCCCCATGCACGCGGCCCTGGCACCCAGTGCACTTGTGGGCTAGCCGCACCGTCTATTGGTGGGGAACAACGTGATCGTGACTTGAAGGCTGTCCTTAAAGCAGCCTGCTGCCCGCAGCATAGCCCGTTGCCCATGACTAGTCACAAATTACCTGAAGGTTGTCAACAGTATACAGTTAAAGCTAGTTATTATACTAGCACTGGTTTCATCATGTACGTTTCATAGTGCTGAGACTTCTAGCGTGAGCTGACCCGTGTCTGCGTATTAGTTTTGCTGGCAGCTGTCACGCTCGTCACCAGTTTGCGGAGGCCGGCGCGCCGGCTGCTGTCCCAGCGCTAACACAGGCCTGCCTCGTCCGGCAGTGGTGAACCGGACGCACGGCGAGCTGCGCGCCGACCCGTTCACCCCGGCCGGCGTGCTCGCCTGCCTCTCCTCGCTCGGCTGGCTCATCCACAGCGAGGAGCAGGACACACACGAAATGTTCTACGTGCTGATCAGCACGCTGCAGGAGGAGCCGGCTGCGCCGCCGCCACTCTCCGCCGACAGCCTGCGCGCGCCTGGCGCTGAGGGCGCCACCGGCCGGGGTGGGGCGGACGACGGCGCCGGCGCCTGGAGCCAGGGCGCCGGTGGCAGACGACGTCTGCCCAGACGGGGGCTGGTGCTCAGGTGGCGCCACCGTCGAGCGGTGTAAACATGACTTCGCGGACGGTTCTGTTGCCAACGGTGTCACTGACGCTCATACGGTGTCACTAGACACCAATGGAAACGCTGTCTTATCAGGAGGCTCGCCTGCTTCCAATGGTGTAAACGGTGACGCGTCGGTGAGAAGTGGAGCTGCAGGCAGTGACGGGCCTGCGAACGAACAGGCCGGGTCCGACGGCAACGGCGGCGGTGCAGTCAAGGACCTGGGTGGCGCCGGTGACGTTGACCGCGGGCGGGAGACGAGGCTCTCCAACGGCGCAGGCCATCGGCCGCTCGGCGAAACTCCGGACTGGCCCGCTGTGGGGAGCTGCGGGACAGAGGCCGCTCCCGCCGCCGCCGTCCCGCCCACGGCGGCCGCCACGGAGCCCCGCGGCGAGGAGACCGGTTCGGAGACGGCCGTCGTCGCATCGAGGGCGCGCCTCGCCAGTGAGCAGGCGCCGGCCGGGCCGGGGCCACGCCAGCGCTCCGGCCTCATCCACCGCGTGCGGGGCGCGGCCGGGCCGGCCTGGCGCGCCGGCGGGCCCGGGCTGCCGCGCTCGCCCTTCCACGGCACCCTCTCCACGCAGCTGACATGCCAGGCGTGCGGCCACAAGGTGAGCGCCGGCCCGTCGCGGTCGCAGAGAGGGAGCGGCGGCTGGGGCGGGGCGATTTCTAGCGCACGCCCTGTGGCGGCTCGTGTGTTGACTGAGAGATGCGTTCAGAAAGTGAGAAGAACGACACTGGAGCTGCGGCCCAATGCTGGATGACGTCATCTGATGGTCGCATAAGGCTTTGGAACGAGCGGCGTTTAGTCGGCTGGGTGTTTACAGGTTACAGAACTTTCCATATTATATGACGGCGATTCCACGTGTCGACTCCCTAAGCAAGCCATTATGAGATGGCGGAACAGTGCAGCTAGCCATGGCCCAGTGTAGACGCCGATCTCACCGGTATGGGATGCGAGCCTTGCACGACTTGTGCGGGCGGTGTTGGTGAAGGTCTGTAGCCCCCGTCACCGTCACCAGCGCCCTGTGGCAGCACGCAGCCGCGTGAATTGATAGTCGAGATGCGGTGCCCCGAGGATGATTTGGCTTGAATGCGTCATGAGTGGGAAGTTTGTGAACCTGAACGCAATTTATCGTTTTGACCTACCTAAAAGGAGGTCCTTATTATTATTCTATATTATTCTATGGTGCACGTTACCAAAGTTTCACATCAAATGTCTTTCAGATGATCAGTTCTAGAACGATTTCCTTATATTTTGTCACTAGCAGTCGTGGCCGAACCTCATAGAAGTCGTTTGAGCCGAAGACCAGATATCCTCCCTCCAAACAAAGCGTTCTTGGTAGGTTCTTGTGCTTTTCGTCTGTTTGTTTGTTTTTTGTTTTTTTTTACTCCAGCCCAATATGGTGGGTGACCGCGCGATCATTGGGAGGGGAGGGGTGTTACCGCCCTAAGAGGCGTGAAGCTCCAATTATTGATGTCAGTAGTGGCAATGACATGATGTTGGGATGTGAAACACCACCCATACTCGCTGCAGTGGTGGTATGTAAGGCTGCTAGGGTGCAGTTATCGCCACGCCGCCAGGAGGAAGGGGTGTGGGGGTCGTGCCTGCTCTCGGCGACTGCCGGGAGCGGACTGGGCTCTGGCCCGGCTGGGACGAGCACGTGACCCGTTCTTACGCTGGAAATTGCTGCTGAGATGTGTGCCGAACAATCCACGATAACGGGGAGGCAATGGCTCATCGTGGTCCGTTCGCATCATGTCCAGTACTTTGAGGCCATTTCGGGCCACTCTTCACTTTGTTGTTGCTAGCCGTGTTTACCTACCACCACCTTCATCATCTCTGGCACCGGAACACTGTGAAATACTTTGCTATCGCCGTATGCTTTCAGCTGGTTTGCGCCGCGCTCGCATTCCAGTGCTTTCTGTACATTTTGCTCAGCGTCACTCGAATCGCACCGGTGCATCAGCGTAACTTCAGAATGTGGCATAACTTTAACGGCCGCAGGCGGCTTTTACGACGCGTCAAAGTGCCTGGCCCGACACGTCACTTCTTTTAAATGGCAATGCCAACCCACATCCATCTAACAAGCTGCGAAACAGAGCGTTTGGGTATTTGCCCCGCTGCGGTGCGCTGAGTTTCCAGGTAATCGGCCGCCGTGTCGTGCCGTCATTCGACCACCTTTCCTGTGGCAGCGCGTGATGAGCGCGCGCCTCGGCTATGCACTCACAGCGCGGAGGGCTCAAACGAAGGCAATAGTGGAGTGTGTTAGGGTCTCCAGTCCCTTCAGCCCCCAGTCCCTGCCCCAGCCACTTCTGCCCTGTTCGGCGTTGGGCATGAGATCCTCTCTCGCCCCACCTGTGCCGTGTATGATGTGGGATGGGGCCCATCCCCCACCCCATCCGTGCCGTGTGAGGCGACGTTTGCCGGGCTCCACTGGCTGCTAACATGACCCTTACACCACATGCGTCTTGTGTGTTGTGGGTGTCGGTGGGACATCAGGGCGCAGGTGCGCGCGGCGGACGAAGCGGATTGCTCCGTCCGCCTCTTGAACAGCTCCGTCCAGGACAGCGTGGCGTGGACGGCTAACACCATGCCTTGTGGCGGGCCGCAGTGCGCCGTGCGCTGGGAGAGCTTCGAGAGCCTGTCGCTGCCGCTGCCGGCGGCGCCGCGGCCGCAGCCGCTCAGCCTGCCGGCGCTGCTGGGCCAGTTCAGCGCCCGCGAGACCGTGCACGACGTCACCTGCGACGCCTGTCAACAGCGCGGCCGCTTCTCCAAGCGCACCCTGGTCGCCAAGGTAACCAGCCAGCTGCTGGCGACCGTGCCGAGCCACCCAGCCCGGGGAGGAGCCTGGCGGCCGTGCCCCTCGCTGTGCTGCCGTCGGCTGCGGCTGAAGTTCGCGTGCTGGGGAACGAGACGCACATGTAGTCTGCTGAGGTGGGCGGAATGCGCTTCCGTGGAATCGTATCGTATCGGGTGGTCTAAAACGTCATGTAAAGGGGTGGAGAGCATTGTTTTTTTGTCCCATGAAGAAGTGCCAACTAAAGGCTATTTTCTGACTGCTGATCGCCATCCATCGATGTTGTTCCCCACACTTGTCGTTACAGCAGGATTTTCTCACGTGAAGCATGGTCCCTACCGTATTGCATGCCCATCCGTTAGAGTCTTGTGTTGTTTCTGTTCCCGTTTAAGATTGGGCCCTACAGTAGTCCATGCCCGCCAGGCACCTGTAGAGTTTGTATCTTGTGTTGGTGGTGGTTGAACCAGGTCTGGAAAGTGTGCGCTTGGCTGAAGTTTTTTCGCTCCAGAGTGTATATCATTTTTTATCGCAGCAACTGTACTCGCCTATCTGTCTGGTGCCTGAGCGTGATAACACAGGAAATACCGTGCGTGAACTGTGCTCAGCGTGGGAATTGGGTGTTCTTTTAGCCATCTTGAGCATAGCAACGCACGAAACGGGTGTTCGTGTTTAGAAAAGGAGAACAAGCGCGTTTAGCATTGCATCCGATTTGCGGTCTAGAATGTCGGGTTTGACCCATCGCATACGATATTACGCTTGCGTTGTCACGAAACTACGTAACAGGTTAGGACGCTTGGAGGCGGCTGACGTCAGCGATGACGTCACCAGACAGCCATAGTCATCTCCTTACCGAACTAGGTCGGAGGAGAAGGCTCGTGTCAAGCTTAACGCTGTAGGGACACTTGTATGGGTGCGTAAAGTAATCTGCCGCCTCGAATATTGGGTGAAACCTTTGCCAGGCCTCATCAAGTCTGACTCATCCGTATGCTCATCCTCATCCTCATACCCTCATGCTCATCCTCATGCTGTTTTCCTTATCGCACAATGCATTGTGAGTCCTTGCGTCGTCCGGGACCTGTTCAGTGTCATTTGCTGTAAAAACCAAAATCGGCCCGTGCATCACGTGTACTTGTCTCCCCTAATCCGATTATCAATAAATCCCATAATCCGGTCCGATCTGATTCGGTAATCCGATCAAAGCGGACGCTCTGCCGGCTGTGACGTCCATCACACGCGTGTCAGCGCTGCCGGCCGCTGTCGCCGCCGCTCCCGACAGCGGCCGGTATCGACGGACGGTGATCTGCTGAGACGCCGCTATGGCTTAGGCGGATCGAAGCGCTTTTATTTAGCGAGCTTTCAGCGGGCCATGTTTTTCGCCGGCTAACGTTGTCTGAGAGAAAAAAGCCGGCAACCTCGATCTCGGACATCTGTGCGCGCGACGGGATTTGTTTTCGTCGGTCGTCTCGCTGCCGGCCTCCTGTCGCCTGTCGGGTAAAGAACCGCTCGTAAAACCTTTCGATAGACCCCGCTAAGCCGGTAAAAGCGCTGACCTTCCTACCGTACGCCGGTTACACGGCGCTCTCATGCGATGATACAGCGCTGTCCGGAACGGCTAATAAATAGAATGAGAGAACATAACTGAAAAGCCAGGTCTGCCTCTTAGCTTGTTACTTAGCTTGTGACCGTCACGAGCCGCGGGCTGTTGATATGCAGGTTATGATCATTTTGATAGGCAGAGCTCGAACTTTGTGAGCTGGTGAACTCGTGTGCTCTAAAAGACCGGAACGCGATGGCCATCCGAGGCCCGCCCCACCGGGTGCCGCTGCGTCGCCGGTCAGCTGCGCGAGCCTGACTACGTTGAACGCCCGTGGTGCCCGCGGGCCACCGCTGCTAGCGTCCGGCGCTAGCGCTGCTGCACTAGACCCTACACTTGCACTGAAGCACTGGACACATGCACGGGCGTAGCACCACAGTACCGTGCTCTGTCGCGAGCACTTCAGCACCGTACCCTGACGAGGGCACTTCATTACCGTACTCTGACGCGAGCACCGTAGTACCGTGCCCTGACGCGGGCACTTCAGCACCGTGCTGTGACGCGAGCACCATAGTACTGTGTTCTGACGCGGGCACTTCAGTGCCGTGCCCTGACGCGGGCACTCCAGCACTCCAGCACCGTGCCCTGACGCGGGCGCTTCAGTACCGTGCTCTGACGCGAGCACCATAGTACCGTGCCCTGACGCGGGCACTTCACTACCGTGCTCTGACGCGAGCACCACAGCAGCGTGCTCTGACACGAGCACCATAGTACCGTGTCCTGACGCGGGCACTTCAGTACCGTGCCCTGACGCGAGCACCATAGTACCGTGCCCTGACGCGGGCACTTCAGTGCCGTGCTCTGGCGCGGGCACCTCAGTACCGTGCCCGAACGCGGATACTCCAGTATCGTGCCCTGACACGGGCATTCCAGCACTCCGGCACCGCGCCCTGACACGGGCACTTTAGTACCGTGCCCTGATGCACATACTCACCTGGCACGGACACACACCTGACACGGACACTCCCTGACGCGGACGCACCTGACACGGACACACCTGACACGGACATACCTGACGCGGGCACACGCTTGACACGGGCACAAACATCAGACAATGATACACCCAGCCGTATCACTAACACCGCATCACAGTTCTGTGACTACAACGCCCTGGTTTCAGCCATAACACAGGGCACGTGTGCTTTGGTGCTACGCTGATGGAAGATGGTGTGCGGTGTCTTGCTGGCACCTGCTGGCCGGCTCCACTCGCGGAAGATGGTGTGCGGTGTCCTGTTGGCTCCCAGCTGGCCGGCTCCACTCGCGGGGGATGGTATGCGGTGTCCTTGTGACCCCCTGCTGGCCGGTTCCGCTCGCTGAGGATGGTATGCGGTGTGCTGTTGGCTCCCTGCTAGCCGGCTCCACTCGCGGAGGATGGTATGCGATATCCTGCTGGGGCCTGCGGGCCGGCTCGCTCGCTGAGGATAGTATGCGGTGTCCTGCTGGAGCCTGCTGGCCGGTTCCACTCGCTCACTTGTCAGGGCTTGATCACTGCGCGACGTGAGCTACTTCTGTGATGAATGGCGGCGTTACCCGCCATTTCAGTCGGGGCGTGGGGCGCGGCAAAGCTGTGGATACACTGCTGTCTGGCCCTTTGCACATTTGGGCTGTCGGTTTACCATTCGACCCGTGACCTACAGTGACCTCTCGCCCCTGCCCTGTGCCCCGCCCATTGGCCTATCACCATCCTGATTCGTTTGAACTAACCGCCCAGCGCAGCCTTACTTTCGTCTGTTAGCCGGCGGCGGCAAAACAAATGTCATGCATCGCCGGAATTCAATCTCCTGAAACGGCTGGGCGTCGGGGCTGCCGGCCTTTTCATTAGGTGAAATCGTCCGATTACTTAGAAATTGGTGAGTGGGCTTCGACTGCAGTTGTGTGAAAGGCCCTGCTGTTCGTGTTTGATTAAACGGTGCAGGGGAGGAAAAGCAAAGCACGTCGGCGTTTGACGCCTGAAGAAAGGGTGAAAGGTTGGGTCTTCGACATTAGCGGCAGCAAATCGTAATCATCCACCCACAGTATACCGGGAGGAAGCCGATCCGTTTGCGATTTAAGGACATTTTGTGTTTTAAGTGCCACACGTCTAGCGGACCCGTTGGAGGACATCGTCATACGGCTTCACGTGGAGTGGTCTGATGACCATGGTGTCAACCAGTTCCTGATTGCCACTGGTTCCTTCGCAACCACAAGGAGCGGGCTTTGGTGCCGCTCTGTTCCCTCACAAACACCAGACGCTGGTTCCTAGTTGCTACCTATTCGTTTGACCACACCAGACTGGTTTCTGGTTTGAACTTTTTCCTTCAAAAAGCCAGGACCTGGTTGCTGGTTGCTGTTGGGTCTGCGTAAACACCACATCCTGGTTTCTGATTCAGATTGGTTCGCTCACAAAACACTAGATCACCGCCCTGCTTCTCAGTGGCTCATTCACAACCGCCAGCCCTAGTTACCATATGGTGATCGCCTACCATTCACGTCATGTGGACTGAAATGGAAAATAATCCTGCACACGTTCTGTGACATTCCTCGTGAAACGTGCATCTACCGTGTGGATGCGTACCGCTCACAGACCAATTCCACGCTAATCTTGGAACCTGAACCTTGCTTTTTCACCAAACTTCCTTGACTTGACTTCCTTCATGCTGGATCTTGGGTCTTGCTGTACATCTGGGCATGATTCCAAGCTGAGCCCTGGTTCTTGCTCGATCCCTGTGCATGTTCCAGGCCGGGTCTCGGTTCGTGGCGGATCTCTCTGCCTAATGTCAAGCCAGATCTCGGTTCTTGCCTGATCTCTCGGCTTAATGTCAAGATGGATCATTTTTCTTGCTGGTTTCTTGCTGGTTTCTCCATAATTCATCATGGTTCTCGCTTGGTCTCTGGCTTAGTTAGAGGTCAATTTCTGGGTTCCTTCTTGTTTCGGAATTAGGGACCGGGATTCGTTTCCGGGGAGACATGCTGGGAACCAGACACATATCTGGCTCAGATCATTATTTAATGAACCTCTGTCGCGTTTGGCACCGGTGAGTGTCTGGAGAAATAGCTCTCGCAATGGTGCGTTGCGCTTCCTTGCAACCTGAACTGCCTGAGGGACTTATGTGAGGGAAATCTAACCCGCAGACATTGGTCCTCGGGGACAAATTATATGCCGTGGGATAAGCGCAAGTTGTAGTTCGCGCAATTTAAATTACGTCAATCGCGGTAACCTGAAAAACGAGAAGTAATGTTCTCTACCATTTTTTGAACAAGGAGTCTCTTGGGCCCCTGGTGGATGGACCAAACGTCCCATTTCTGCAAAGACTGCAAACTTCACTTCATTGGCACTGGCTGCGTGACGTCTGCAGCGCCCATCCAGACAACATCAGCTGTCGTGACGCATGTGCATATTCGTTGCTGCACCATGTGCGTCTGGAGCATACGTGGCGAACTCGTCGCAGCGATTTCCTTTGTCGCCCTTGACGTCCGTGCCTCGTTGCAGCTGCCGTCCGCCCTCTGCCTCCACCTGCCACGCACCACGTGGGAACAGAGCGGCCAGGCGGCCAAGCGCGGCGACCACGTGGCGTTTTTCGAGACGCTCAACATGTTCCCGTATACGTACGCGGCCAGCGGCCAGGTGAGTGCGCCGCCGGGGGCCGGGCTGAGCTAGCCCGCTCTATACAGTCACGACCCCGCGCTCCAGGCGGGTGCGTGGCCGGGGGCCGGGCTGAGCTAGCCCGCTCTATACAGTCACGACCCCGCGCTCCAGGCGGGTGCGTGGCCGGGGGCCGGGCTGAGCTAGCCCGCTCTATACAGTCACGACCCCGCGCTCCAGGCGGTTGCGTGGCCGGGGGCCGGGCTGAGCTAGCCCGCTCTATACAGTCACGACCCCGCGCTCCAGGCGGGTGCGTGGCCGGGGGCCGGGCTGAGCTAGCCCGCTCTATACAGTCACGACCCCGCGCTCCAGGCGGGTGCGTGGCCGGGGGCCGGGCTGAGCCAGCCCGCTGCAGCCACGACCCCGCGCTCCATTGCGGTCTCTGTTCGGTTGCGGCGCCCAGCCCCTATTGTCAGAGACGGCATTGTGTATGGCTCCTCTGAACTCGAATGGGAATCCCGTGTACTGCGCGGCTTTCACGTAAGTTCCTGTTTGCACATTGCTTGAGTGGTCTGTATCTATCATTCGCCGTCTGTCACCCACGTCGTCAATACCACAACCAAGTTGGTGTCTGAAGTAGATCATCCGTTTACCCACTATCGCTTCTTCAAAGTATTTCCCCTTCAGTGGACAACTATTTCAGTTGTCTCAAAATACTGAAAACTGTTACTATCTGAACTGTATGAAGAAGTGTCCGCTGTCTGCCACCGACGTCGTTAATACATCACCAAGTCCATCGCTCAATTCGGTCATCATTTAACCAGATATCACCGCTTTTCTATATGTTTGCCTTTCAGCGGTCAGTTTTCTTTTTTGTACAAGGGAGAATTCGGCATCCTTTCTGCCAATCCCCACCCGTATCACGTCGCCCTGCCGTCGTTCCATCGCCAGCAGTCGGGCAGGCCGAACATACGTGTCTGGGCTGTGCGTCGAGCTATTGGTGCCCGGCCGGCAGGCGGGTGCGGGCCGAATATACCGTGTCAGGGCTGTGTGTCGAGCTATTGGTGCCCGGCC